GAAGGACCTTAATAGTGGTTAGTCTGCTGAGATACCCAAAAAGCCTAGAGTAAAAATGGACTGTTGTATGGAGAGAAGTTCCTGATACTGTGGTTAACATCAAGGATTGCTTAAATATTAATGTTCTGGTTTTTGCTGTTGTTCACACTCATTGTTTAAATTCTAAATCCCATTTTTGTCTCCTTGAATAAATTTACAATGCCCTGATTTTTAATAGTCTTGTTTAATTTCCTGTTACGTGCTTCCTGGACTGTCTCCTGAATTTCAGACCTCTCCTTATTGTATTCATAAATTACCTGAATTTTCAATTTTCAGTTTAAACAACCTGGATTCCTCATCTATAGTCCACTCTGTTCTTTGAGGTCTGTGTGCATTTCTACTGGATTGCTGCCACCATATGTCTTCTGGTCATAGGCGGGTGCCTGTGACTTGCATTCTGCTTTGAGTCTGGGCTTGTAAGATGCTAGCATAAGATTGCTCTCGATTCGTAGGTTTTGCCACTCATGTCCATGCAGTCCACACTGTCGTCTCCTCATTTACATTACTTGTAGTGTCTGGTTCCCTTTCCAAGAGCATGCAGGGGCAAATTAGTTTGTACTTATATTTCAATTTTTTTAGATTTAGAAATGAAATTTTTATTTTAAAATCTCTAAGGACAGTGGTATTATGACCAACCAGAGGTTCAGAGACAAAGGAGGTCTAAATCTTCCTTCAAATTATGTGAGAATCAGGTTTTCAGAAGTCAATGTGTGTTAAAACCATACAAAGATCCTTTAGTTTAGATTCTAGGCTCAGAACATTAAGGCGGGGTTTTGGTTTTGTTTGTTTAGTAATTAAACCTTTGGCATAACTCAAAAGTCTAAGGTATGTAAGAAACTATTCATTGTATAAGAAATTATTCCTGAATGTCCCACTCATTGCAGGAAAACTAGCATTATTCAATAAGCCAACCAAGTACACGGCACATTTTCTATCATATGGTATACGAAAACATGCCCACAAATCACCCAAATACCACTAAGGGTCAATGTCACCTCTAAAGAGAATTATTCAGTTTTCAATTCTGGGTATGGGGAGGAGGCTACAGAATATGAGAGTGCTCAAAACCTGAACAAAATCAAGCAAGAAGGAGAGGGGATGACTATTGGGTAGGCATCCACCAGTGTGCATCACAAGAAATAGTCTAGACAATATTTTGTAAGGCCCTTTCCAGCTACAGAGTTGAAATTATTTAATGTCACAAAATGCAGTATAAATTTATTTATGGTAAAAAAATATTTATGGGTAAACAATAATCATGGATAATGGATATTTATATTATATTCACAAATTATAATTCAAATTACAAGGACAAATTCTTCCATTGCTAAATGTAATAAATAGTAGGACTTGTCTTAAAGATAAACAAAACATACAACAATCAACATATTTAAATCTAAGCTTGTAAAGAATAAAAAGATGTCATGTGTCATTTTAGAATACTGTTAATTTGGACTAAAATTGTTCAGTGTTTAATGAAGGATAATAACATTTTGGGCATTATTGAGAACAAATGAAGTCAACACCATTTAATTCAAGTTTACCTAATTAAAAAATTAAAACTACACATTATTCTGTATCTCACTTCTTTTTGAAAAGGGATATAGATACAATCTTCTATCCTTTCTCGTCTCTTATAATGGATGATCAGGAATCACCTCTGAAGTTTCTAGCATAGTATATGGGCCCAATATATGTTTGGTAGATGTTTGCTTCATAGATAATTAAATGTTTTTTTTTTTTTATTTTTTAATGCTTATTTTATTTTTGATGGAGAGAGAGAAAGAGTGTGAGTGGGGGAGAGGCAGAGAGAGAGGGAGACACAGAATCTAAAGGAGGTTCCAGGCTCTGAACTGTCAACACAGTGCCCATTGCGGGACTTGAACTCAGGAACAGTGAGATGATGACCTGAGCGGAAGTTCCACGCTTAACTGACTGAGCTACCCAGGCGGCCCAATAATTAAATGGTTTTAATGAAACATTTCAAAAAAGATTATGTAGACCTAATCTAAGATTATTTTATTATTATTAGTTTTAATACCAAAAACAAATATTTTTAATGTATTTTTTTCTAAGTTCTTTTACTCCAGGTTATTTTACATAGACTAATACATATTTTGCATATGAAATGCAGGTTTATATAATGATGATAGATGACTATGAATTAGTAATCATTAAAAGAACAGGCTTTTCTACAGCTCATGATCATTCTGGTTGCTCGCTTGTCTCACATTTTTATTGTTCTTTTCATAGGGTTTCGATAAACAAGTGGATGTGTCATATATTGCCAAACATTACAACATGAGCAAAAGCAAAGTTGACAACCAATTCTACAGTGTGGAAGTGGGAGACTCAACCTTCACAGTTCTCAAGCGCTACCAGAACTTAAAGCCTATTGGCTCTGGGGCTCAGGGAATAGTTTGGTAAGTGGAATGGATTTAACATTTATTTATTTATTTGTTTGTTTATTGATTGATTGATTGACTGAAGTATAATTGACATACAGTGTTATATTAGTTTCATGTGTGCAACATATTCAACAATTCTATACATTACTCAGTGCTCACCATGAAAAGTAGTCACCATCCATCACCAAGCAACATTACTACAATCTTATTGACTGTATTCCCTATGCTATACTTTTCATCTCTGTGACTTCTTTATTTTATAACTGGAGGTTTGTACTTCTTAATCCCCTTTATCTATTTCACTTATCCCCTCATCCATCACCCTTCTGGCAATCACTAGTTTGTTCTCTGTGTTTAAGATTCTGTTTTTTGGCACAGAGGAAGGCAAACCATAAGAGACTCTTAAATACAGAGAACAAACTGAGAGTTGCTGGAGGGGAGGTGGGTGGGAGAATGCTCTAAATGGGTGATGGGCATTAAGGAGGGCTCTTGTTAGGACGAGCACTGGGTATTTTATGTAAGTGATGAATCACTGGGTTCTACTCCTAAAACCAATACTACACAGTAACTAACTTGAATTTAAATAAATAAATTTTAAAAAGAGTATGTTTTTTGGTTTGTCTCTTTGTTTTGTTTTTTTGGATTCCATATATAAGTGGAATCATGTATTTATCTTTCTCTCTCTGACTTATTTCACCTGTATTTTTAAAGGGAACAATGCTGTGTATGTCAACTAATCATAAACATGCACACAAATAAACATAATTAAATATAGCATGATTTGAGAATGGAAGAATACTTTCTATCAAATAAAAGTAAAATTATAAGCATTATTGTAACTCATTGCCCATGTGCTAAAAACATTTACGATTTTGCTTGTGACTAGTTTTTCTACTCACAAAAAAATGTCCATTATACAACAACCATGGAGAAACCAAGAAAAGTGGAGGTTTTCTAGCTGTTGCTAATGCATTGGAAAATTTTCTTTGGATGTTTTAGCAGCAAGAAATATGTGTTAAGATAACCAGCAAATAAAATTCCCTGCATTCTAAGTAAGTATAAATTATATGTCAAATGTTCCTGTGACTTTTAAAGTTCTATGTTTAAAATTCAGTTACCTATTAGAAAAAGTGGTATTTTTAAAATGTTTGTTGAATGTTTCCAAAGTGGAAAAATTCTGGGCATCCTTAATAACCATTATTTAATGACATTTTTCAGTGGCAAATTCAAATGGTGACAAATCAAAATCTTATTAACTGTTCTGTAAAATTTTTGCAAAAGTGATATCAGATTGATAAGCATTTATTCTATGTAGTTTTGACTTGTAATGTAGCCACCAAATGTATTTAGTATGAACTTATTAGTATAATAATTTTCAATTTGATAACTCATAAGTAAAAATTTAGGACATGTACTATAAATATGTATGTATGTATGTTATGTACTTATTTATTTATTTATTTATTTATTTATTGAGGATATTTACTTAGATCAATATACTTATTTGTTATATAAATTACTGCTACATTAGTAATGCCCATTTAGAAGCATACTTTTAAAAGATGAGATAAAGATGAAATCAATTTTATTTAAAAACAGATTTTACTTTACAACTTTTCTTCACTCATTTGATATAATGTAATTATGATGACAACAATGTGGTAGTGTTCATTACACCTTAATTTTATATTTCATAAAACAATTTCAAAATCTGATTCACTTCATTTTTTATTTTTAATACTTTTTTTAGAGCAAAACATCTTAGAGAAAAATTGAAAAGAAGGTACAGAGATTTTCCATGTTCCTCGTGCCCCCACACATGCATAGCCTCCTCCATTATCAACATCCCCAGCAAAAGTGGTATATTTATTATAGATGATGACCCTACATTGATACACCATAATCACCAAAGCCCATAGCTTACATTAGGATTTATTCTTGGTGTTGTACATTCTATGGATTTAAACAAATTAAAATGTTATGTATCCATTATTATGGTATCATATAGAGTATTTCCACCGCTCTAAAATTCCTATATACCCCACCTGTTCATCCGTCTCTTACTCCCAACTCCTGGCAACCAGTGATCTTTTCACTCTTTCCATAGATTTGCCTTTTCCAGAATGTCATATAGTCGGAATCAAACAGAATACAGCCTTTTTAAATTGGCTTCTTTCACTTAGTAATATGCACTTAAAATTCCTTCATGTCTTTTCATAGATTGATAGCTCATTTCTTTTTATCACTGAATAATTCCTTGTCTAGGTATGCCACAGGTTATTCTTTCACCTACTTTAGGACATCTTGGTTGCTTTCAGGTTTTGGCAATTATAAATAAAACTGCTTTAAACATCCATGTACAGGTTTTCTGTGGACATAAGTTTTAAACATTTACTTCATTTTGATAACTGGTTTTAAGTTCATTCTCAATTCTTAGTCAATGTAAATGGCAGCTGTGCATGGTTGGTGCACTCACTAAATCATTTACTAGCATTTAAACCCCATTTATCAAATATATCAAAGCCTTTATTGAAATTTGCTTAGTAATTACCTAATGTCAATCAGTAATTGTTTCTGCAATTTGAAAAATGGAACAGTTAAATATTTTTAACGATGGACCAAGCCTTTCATTTCAAACATTTAAACAGCTAAAGGAATTCTTATTTTCAGTTTTTATTATTTATTAATTATGCTGCAGGCATGAGTTGAATCTCTTTGTGGCACAAAGTAATTTCATGGCATGATAGGCACAGTAACGGTCCCCCAAAGATGCCCAGACTCTAATCCTCAGAAACAATGAATATGTTATCTGACATGGCAAGAGGGACTCTGCAGATGTGATTAAGGTTAAGGCCTTAAAATGGGGAGATTATCCTGAAATATTCAGAGAGATCAATTTAATCACATGAGTTCTTAAAAAGTGGAAAAGAAAGGCAGAAGAGTGGGTCAGAGAGATGCAATGGGAAAAGAGAGATAAGAGATTTAAGACATGTGAGAGGCTTGCTTATTGTTGCTGGCTTTAAAGCTAGAGGAAGAAGGTCATGAGCCAAGAAATGGTCTGGCTCCTAGAAGCTGGGAATTGCTATCAGCTGCCAATCAGTAAGAAAAATAGAAGGCTGCATTAGAGTCATGTAACCACAGGGAATTGGAGTCTCACAACAAACCCAATTGAGCAAGGAAACAAATTCTCCTCTAGCACCTCCAGAAAAGAACCAGTCTGCTAACATCTTGACTAGCCTGGTGAGGCCCATGTAAGGACTTCTGATCTGCAGAACTGTCAGGTAATAAATTTGTGTTGTTTAAACAATTAAGTTTGTGGTGGTTTGTTGTGGCAGCAACACAAATACCGTTGGTATAGTAAAGATAAATCTCCTAGAGCAGGCACACCGAACTATAATGTTTTCAGAGGAAGGAATTTAGGGTGCCTCTGTCAATCCCCTTCAAACCATGAAATTTCCATTTTCCTTTAAAAATTTTTTTACCCTAGGTAATATGTAACCAGCTGCTAGGGGACAGGGGATAAATTGTGTTTGGGAGAGACCAGTATTAATTTGTTTATTAAATATTAGTAATTTTAATTTCCTTTCTACATTACAATATATGTTTATATTTTCTGCATTCTATTAGATGTCTTGTATACTACCTGGGGAGTGGGAATCCCATTTAGGATATCACTGCATTTATGAACAACTTTCAAAATGAAATAGGAAATAAGACAAAAAGAAAAAAAAATCTTATGAAGGAAGAGAGGAGATGGAGAAAGCAGAGGAATTTCTGGCTACCTTTCTTAAAAGGAAAATTATAGAACATGAGAAAGTTTTCCTACATTTCTCAGTTCAGATGCTGAAATACTCATTGGGATTGTTTTATTTTCCATTAAATAAAACAGCCACAGAAAGTAAGGGCACTAGTGAAAGGAAGCTGTAGACCTTAATGATTTAAAAATAGACCCAAAACACCATTTTTCTCAAGAAGTTAGCAGACTGTACCAGAAAGATTTGAAAATCCACGAAAAATTTCTTTGGGCATTTTGAGCCTCTATTTCTCCTTGTACAGGACAGAAATCATCTTAGTTCTTAGGTATACTAACTGAAATAGATTTCAATAAATGATGTGTCCTTGAGTAAAATTTTTAATCCAGTTTTACCATAAATTTATCAGCAAATTTGTCAGAAAAGACACCTGAATTCCAAAATGTTAGCCTTGGAGCTTCCTGGGATTATTATTAGTTTTTGGGTTACAGCTGAGGGAAATAAAGCTAGCAAAGACCAAGATGAAGGGATAGAAATAGGATGGCATCCTCTTCTTCCTCATCTTCCAATTCGCTACTCTACCATCTGTACAGGACACCACAATTCCGGCACATTCCTTTCTAGACATGAATATAGTTGTCCCTTCCTTGTCCCTCTTCCTCAACCTAGCTTTGAGATATCTTTATTTATCATAACTCATGTCTATAATGTTTTATTTCTCTTAAGTATCTATTGTTGTATTAATGTGTCCTCTCCACAGCCTTTTAATTTCCTTCTTATTGCCTTTTGTCACTGGGGAGTTTATCCACCTATCCCCTACATCAAACACACATCCATTTTCAGACATATCTCTAAAATCCACAGACCTTTTCTCTGTCCATGAAAACGCAAATTTGTGTGTTTTGAATGTCCCATACAATTCTGAGTGTAGTGACTGGGAGATATTGGAAACTGGGCGTATCTGGGGATCCTGGGATGTGGGGCAGACAATCTGAAACAGCTGATTCATTTGTTTTGCTTTATTTTATTTATAACCAGGAATAAAACATGGAGGAATCAATTTTTGTTTGCATGTGTCACCATAAAATTTTGTGTGTTTGTGTAAGAAGGATTTTACTTTTCAAGTGTAAATGTTGGCATATTGGTACTTATGTTTGAAATGGATTCTCATTTCTACTGTTTCAATTACTTTAAATTATTATTGGGTTCCTATACTTTCTTTCCTCTCTTTGAATTGCCTCATTGCTTATTTACTATCAGGGG